GCAGGGACGTCCAGCGGCGCCGCCAGACTCCACTGCTAGGTAAGATTTTGAACCCTTGCAGCTTATATTTTGGATATGGCATTCTAATAGTGCATGCGTGTGTCATAAAAATTTCGAGCGATGTGTCGACATGAAGGATCTGATTCTTCCCTTGTAAGATTTCATCACTCATGTTTCCGACGTTCAGTTATGAGCCTTTCTGAGACGTATTCGTAACTCTTGATTTTATTTTCGAACATTTTATTTGCTAAAATTGCTACACCCTTACTGACACGTTGTTGTTGTTGTTGTTGTTGTTGTTGCTGCACGTAGAACATGATATAGTGTTCCACATATTTACTGTCTTGAAGTTTCTTCTTTATCACAGATATGACTGATATATCTACATTATTATTTTTCAACGCTCTTATTAATATATTTTCTTCACCTGTCAAAGATCTGACTTTTCGTGTACTTCGAATTATTATTTCCGCAATCCATTTTCTTGTATGATTCGAGCCGTGTTGTCATTGAATCCATTTCCGAAGGTATTACGGTTTCTGCCAGTACTACGTTAAATCCCCTGGCCGCGTTACGAGCGCTGAGCAGATGATGGGTTCGCCACGTTACGGCTTCCAAGGCCCGCAGAGCAGTTTATTCCAGATGCCGCTCTAGATTCTTCCGCTCCCTCCAGCATGTGGATATCATCCACATGATCTTGGGACCGTTGATCTTTTCACTCGTTGACAGCTGCCCCTTCTGGGCAAGTTCCTTTCTGGATTGCTTTTTCGTCTGGACCTTTGGCTAGTCCGGCAAAGGTTCTGCTGGTAACTTTTTATCGCCGGCATAGCCCAAAGGATCATGAGACCACACAAGTACCCCCATCAAAGACAAGGTCATGCAATCCCTAGACGGCGCATGTGGAACTTATAAATTTTCTACTGATACCTTCAAACATGTAGTTTTTGGCGTGCACCTTTGCTACTCCACATCATATTATATGTCCCAATTTTCCAACCACATTGATTGTTGTGGCTTGAATGCCTTCTGATTAACGTCATTCAATTGTACGACTTTTCATTATGTTACTTTACGCACTTTATTTTCTCGCTCTCACTTCGTTAAAAAAGAGAGTGTTGTAATCGTGCGTCGGAAAACGGCGCGTTTACGTCAGAATATCTCTTATTGCCACGCTCTGGTATAGAAACAGTGAATCCATTTTGTTCATAAATAGTAAATAATTTAATCTAACACATTGTGTAGCCAGAATCCATGTTTTGTAGGTCCTTGATACGAAATATGGATTGATGGCAAAACGTCCGTCGGTCCGTCTGTGTGTCTATCTGTCCGTCCGTCAGTCCATCCGTCAGTCCATCCATCTGTCCATCCGTCTGTCCATCCGTCTGTCCATCCGTCTGTCCATCCGTCTGTCCATCC